GGAAGTGGACTCTGTAAAATCAAAGATTTATTCAAATTAGATTTGACCCTGAAATGATTTTATGCAGGCATTTGTTTTGTATTTCAATTGATTTTACTTCATGTGTCTACGTTAGCTTCTTTTACTCTGTTTTCTGGATGTTTTCTCTTGAGTCTGATTACCCTTGTGCAACATTTTTAAAATGAAAAAAAAAAACAGATAAAGCTGCGCAACAAACTAAAGAACAGTTTATCAACAAATTAAAGAACACTAAACTCAAAATGTGCAACTTGTGTCTTTTCCTGGAATTACTTTCAACACGGAGGTTCATAACATCTGTTACTCTAAACAGAGATCTTCCTGTGTGATCACATGCTGTTTAGATGTTCAGTATTTTGCAAGGTAAAATTGGATGTATTTGTGTATCTGTGTTACAATAAACATGCATCCCATTTAAGGTGCAGTCCTGACTTGTACACTATACTTCCACTGCAGGCTCTAGGCCTCAGGTTTACCTAGAAGAAGCTTTTTGATAATGTATGGATTCTGAATATGCACAGTGTATAGGTTTCTATTTTAAAACTTATTTTAGTAACTCTCATAAGGCTTCCCATAATTTTGAGTTAGTATTCCCAAATTTTGATCCCTGAGTATGAGTTATACTCTTCCATTACTTACCTGTTGGTATACAATTAAATCCAACTGATACAGGTGTTGTTTCTAATGGAGAACAGTCTGATCTGCAGTGGAGAATTGGCTCCACCGAGTGGCAGCTTGATTCCTCTCCCATTATACTGATATGCTTTTGCAATGTCACAAACTCCCGTTGCAAGGTACAAGCTGCAGGAAGACATTTACAGATCTATAAAATGATGCATAATGTTTGCCTGACTGATTCTAAGTTTGCAAAGTGCTGTTTATTGATGGTGGCAAATCAACAAAACATATAGACTGCAGCAAGAACTGCTTAGCAATAATACTAAACCACATAAGAACATTGGAATTGTTGCAAAAGGGAGGAGGTAATTTAGTCCACCTTACTTGTTTGGTAGTCCAGTAGCTAAATGATTCTACAATTTGTCCTGTCACTTCTTTGAAGAAGCCTGGAATTTGAACCTGAACCACCTGACTTGCAAGCCTGTTCCAGATACTCATAACTCCTTGTCAATTTCCCTTCAGGTTCCAATTATGATTATGTGTCTTTGTTTCATTACTGAAAATAATACTGTCCCCTTGAATAACCCAAACTACTGTATGCTCCTTAGCATTTTATAAAATCACCTCACAGTTACCTTTGTTTTAGACTGAAGAGTTTTAATCTGTATATGGCAATCGCCTGAGTGCTCTTTTTTCAACTTATTTTAAAACTATTTTATACTGTATGTCTTGTGATGTGGTCATTTAAACTAAGTACAATATTCTAGAAGTCTTAATAATGTGTTGGGAAGCTTCTGCATATCTTCCCTCAGTTCTACATATTCGTATTGCTAATTTATATTGCCTTGATCAAGAAATAGACGTTTTAGTATATATAACGGTATATACTGTATATAAAAACCTAAATTACTTTCATGAGTAGCTTGTGGAATCACAGAATCACAAGTTAAGTCCCTTACTGTAGTTTCTGTGAAGCAATTCGTCACTCCTTATATTTTTATATTCCTTACAATTTTAACTAGTTCATCATGTTTATTGTACCAAAGTAAAAAGTGTTATTTATCATGGTTCTGCAGTTAGCACACAAGTTAACAGCTTTTTATCTTAATCCATTTTTAAAACAGGAAAAGTCCAAGAAAATCAAGTCTCACCACCTGAGCAGGGTTCTTCATGAAGCATCCAAGAGTGCACAAAACTGCTTGGACTTTTTGCTGTGTACAAATTTGGCATTCTAAATTCTGTGCGATCCTCTCCATCTGCCTGTCCGCACAGGCCACACATTTTTCCTTTCATCCAGGATTCGATTACAACCTGAATGAGAAGAATACCATAAAGCACCAATGCAAATACTCTTTTGACTATAAACAACTGGTGTCACCTATCCCAATGACTCATTTAATTTATTCAGATTATTTATTTTCTTAGAAGAATAAAACTTGTTGTGGATCCACTTAAAGATATACAAATTACTCCATTAAAATTACAAAAGGAATAAACTAGTTTTAATAAGACTCTAAATATATTACATTTTACCTTCATTATTTCCCCATTCAGATATAATCTGTCAAGTCCAAGTTCTGGTGCTTCTATCAAAACATCACCTTCAATGGTGTTGATAAGTAATGTTCCTTTAAAAAACAGATTGCCAGTTCATGAGTACTATGGTTATAGACCGTGATGGTTAATATTGTGTGGATAAGAAAATTTCAGACTGATTTCAAAACATTTCAGACAGTCCTTTTAAATATTTGTTAATAGCACAGTAATGTTCCTGGCTCTTAACTTTATGTTGAATCTGTTATTTTGATGGAAAATGTTTCTTGTGATATTGTGGAACATAGAAACTTCATATTTTAAGAACATTATCTGCTGATCAAAAGTATGGTTTATTAGACAAATTTTAACTAAGCTAAGGAATTATTTTTAACTCATACGATTTAAACCTATACATGTTCTCATAACATAAAATACAATTGTCACATATGGTAAAATGTTTTAATTAAAAGTCATCATTCAGATTGTCAACATGACCTGCAATAAATGCATCTGAATTAAATATTAAATATTTCCTCACATTTTCCACCTATGATTCTACGTTTTTATAACAAAAGCAGGATCATGGCTGGCAATTGTGTCAGCTTAGCTGTAATAATATAAATTCAGATTTTTTATTGGTCATTGTTTTATTGAAATCTTATTATTATTCCATCTTTTATATACCTGAGGGGTCTTTAAATGGCAGGCTAGAAAGTGTCAGGCCAGCATTGTTAAATCTTAGGAAAGGGTCTCTACCAGCTTCATGGCGAATGATTAGATTCCTGAAAGAAAAAATAACATTTTTTGCCAACATATTGCATGAATGTGTAACTGCCAATATACTACATAACAATGTTACTACATAAGAAGTTTATGGTAACTTAAAAGGGTACCTTGTAAAATAGAGCAAAAATACTATATTGTATATATTTATACACATTTAATATAATAGTGTTTATTAATATACATGTTTTAGCTAGAATTATGGGGCCATCTAGAAATCATACTCAAATAGAATCAAGAAATAAAGCATACATTGATGATTCAAGTGTAAGATTATTATCCACTGCAAAACATAGCAGAATATGTTTTTGTTGGCATTTTACTGCAAAGGTTCGGCATAATACTTTAGGCATTATGTCATATACTGTAACTGAAGTAATGTATCACTGACTACTTCTGTTTGCACTCTGGTATTTCAGATTCTTGTCATGTTAATTCAATAACATGTCAAGTGGGATGATTGACTCAGCTGCTGCCCTGCTCCATATTTTTATATTTCCCATTCATTACAAGGTCTTCAGAAATTCACAAAAAAAATTCTGGTGGTCTCAGAATTTTGATTTGTATTGTAAAAAGTGTATATAAAATGGCAAAGAACAGTATATCTTAACAGAGACACATGATATGTCTACAGCACATACTGCATGGTATACTATAAATAAGGACCTAAATATAAAATGAGAAAGAGCAGTGATGTGAAAAATGTGGCTTTATGTCTAGTTATCTGAATATAGAATGTTCAATGCTTTCAGTTCAAGTTTGTTCCACACATTCTGAGCAATGATGAATATGTAGTCTGAAGCTGAAACGATAGATTATTCAAATCTTACTGGAAGAAAGATTATGATGTAAGTAATCAGAAAAAACTTCAACCAAAATAACCACCTGTAACTTTTGAGACAAAATCAAACATCTGTTTAATTTGGGAAGAAGTTAAAGACTTACATCAATATTGTGTTTGTGTTAATTATGTGTTGATTATTCTTTGATATTCCTGACCACAGTTATTTGAATGTTTCATGCTGTTATCTAAACTACTCTCTAGCACTATATGTTCCCTTCAGAAGATTTATCATTGATTTTAACTAAACGTTAAATGTGGATTTTAATTAAGAGATCATCCTACTCTAACACCTCTAGCAACATAAAATAAGATAATTATTATTATTAATAATAATAATATAATAATAATTTCTATACTTATATAGAGCTTTTCTGGACACTCCACTCAAAGCGCTTTACAGGTAATGGGGACTCCCCTCCACCACCACCAATGTGCAGCATCCACCTGGATGATGCGACGGC